TGTTGTTTGGCGGGTCCGGGCTGGGGATTCGAACCCGCCACCTTAGGTGTACATGGCTGGCGCCTTAGCCGGTTGAGCTATAGGCGCCGAGCCAATCCCCCTGACTTCTATGGAAAATAAAAAGAATATGAAAATTGGAATTGTGTATCACTTTTTGACCTGACTAGACAGAGCCAAAAACCTTTATTGGAAATCTCAGAGAGGAATAAACAAGTAAAATAAAATCAGTGTCAATTAATAGTACTGTTTCTATAGTATACGATAATATCAATAACTCAGTGTTGGATAATATTTAGTGAACATTATTTTACATGCAAAGAATAGGGTTAAATGATTTTGGAACAGAGAGTCTGGAACCCACCCTCCCCTCAAGAAGTTTGAATTTCTCCCAAAGCTGTAGATGTTGGCATAGATGTAGGAAGAAGGAAACACTTTTACACTGTGTGTGGGATTGCAAACTCAAAGAACTCAGAAGAGACCTTACATTTGATTCCATAATTCCATTACTAGGCATCTCCCCAGAAGAAAAAAAAAAGTATTTTATCATAAGGACATTTTCACTAGATTGTTTATTGCAGCTCAGTTTACAATTGCCAAGATGTGGGGACATCTCAAGTGCCCAATCCATGAATAAATTAATAAACTGTGGTATATGTACACCATGGAATACTATTCGGCCCTAAGAAAAGATGGAGACTTTATATCTTTTGTATTAACCTGGATAGAGTTGGAGAACATCTTTAGTAAAGTATCACAAGAATAGAAAAGCAAGTATCCAGTGTATTCAATACTAATATGAAGCCAATAGATGAACAGGCCCACACAAGAGAAAAACTCAATTTAATTCAAGTTGGCCTTAGAGAAAGGAGGGGGATTGTTATGCTCCCACCTAAGAGGCATAATGGAAAAGTATATGGCACACCTTCTGGGTGCGAGACACTACCAGAGGCACCTTACCTAACAAATGCAAACACTGTAAGCTAATTGTTCGTGCCCTCATATTAATCTGCAATAAAAAATAATCTGCTTAGGGGGTGGCTCCCATACTAAGTGGGTAGAGCACCAACCACATACACCGAGGGTGACGGGTTCAAACCTGGCCCAGACCAGCTAAACAACGACAACTGCAACAAAATAGCCGGGCACCTGTAGTCCCAGCTACTTGGGAGGCTGAGGCAAGAGAATTGCTTAAGCCCAAGAGTTTGAGGTTGCTATGAGCTGTGACCCCTTGGCACTCTACCAAGGGTGACAGCCTGAGACTCTGTCTCAAACGAAACAAAACAAAAAAATCTGCTTAGGAAAAAAAATTATAATCTAATAGATTTTAGTTCACTATCCATTCACTGTAGCTTGCTACTGGGAAGACACAGGAATTCTGTCGGTATGATTTCAGTCCCTACTTTCTAAGAACCTCTCCCCACTTTATATTCAAACATACACACACACACACGCCCACACACACATTTTATCAAGGAGACCTGAGTTTCCCAGAGAAACCTCTACAGTCTAAAGGAACAACAGCTGAAGCAATGGGCTTTTTGCTTTCTTAGAAGATTAACTTGATGTTGGCCCCTTTCTTAGAAGACAAGCATTCTAGAAAGCTCAGAGAAGGAGAGAGA